TAGCGCGCGCCTGTAGTTCTGGCTACTCGGAAGGCTGAGGCGGAAGGATCGCCAGAGCCCAGCAGGTCGAGGCTGCGGTGGCCGGGAGCGGCCACTGCACTCCGGTCTGGACGACAGAGTGAGACTCCAACTCAAATAAAAAAAAATAAAAAAAAAGAAAGGCTATGTGTAGGCACTCTGGTTGACATTATCCACCAAGGCCAGCCTTTCCTCATCCCTGCCTAAGTGCTGGACATATGAACGACTCTCTTTTAGGCTTCCCAGACCAGCCCATCTGCCAGCTGAGTATCACCAAATGACCTGTCAGCATTGACATGACAGAAGAACCATCTAGCCAAGTCTTGCCCTGACTCTTGCTCCACAAAATCATGAGATTTAAGAAAGATGGTTTCTGAGCCGGGCTCGGTGGCTCAGGCTGTAATCCCGAGCCTTTGGGAGGCTGAGGTGAGCGTATTGCCTGAGCCCGCCGGTTCGAGGCCCGCCTGGGCAACTTGGCGAGACCTCATCTCTACACTAAATCAAAAACTAGCCAGGCGTGGTAGCGTGCACCTATAGTTCCAGCTACTTGGGAGGCTGAGGCGGAAGGATCGCCGGAGCCCAGCAGGTCGAGGCTGTGGTGGCCGGGAGCAGTCACTGCCCTCCAGTCTGGGCGGCAGAGTGAGACTCCAACTCAAAAAAAAAAAGATGGTTTCTGTTTTAAGCTGTGGTTTGTTGTTTAGCAAGGCAATACTTTGTCCAATCCCACTTTCACTGTACTTTTCGCCTGCTCTGACCTTGTCTATAGCTCTCAAATTTCAAACCCTACCTACACTTCCTTCTTGAAACCTTCCTCAGTTTTCTTTGTGTGTATTTTTATTTATTTATTTTTGAGTTGGAGTCTTACTCTGTCGCCCAGGTTGGACTGCAGTGGCACACTCACGACACCCCAGTGTCAACCTCCTGGACTCCAGCGATCCTTCCGCCTCAGCCTTCCAAGTGGCCGGAACTACGGACATGTGCTACCAGGCCTGGCTAATTTTTATTTATTTATTGTAGAGATGAGGTCTCGCCAAGTTGCCTGGGCTGGTCTCGAACCTACGGGCTCAGGCAATCCACTCGCCTCAGCCTCTCAAAGTGCTGGGATTATAGGCTGAGCCACTGAGCCCGGTCTTTCCTCAGTTTTCTAGCAGGGCACTTCTGCCTCCCTGAACAGGTATACTTTGACCTCTCTAATGTGTAACTAGGGTGGCAATGTCCTCTTTGTTTGGGACCTTACTCATTTGTGCCTACTATCTCAGTTAATGCTGCCCCCTTTGACTTTTGTCCCACTTTAGTCAATAAATCATATGGTCATCCTGTGCTTGTTATTTGTATAGAAATGTTTGCTCTCATTCTCGACCATAAAGTTACCTGAAAGCAAGGATCGTATCTTTCCTTCAGTAGACATCTACTGAACACCTACACTGTGGCACAGTGTTATTGAGCAAAAGGGGCTCACTGCCTGATGTGCTAGAAGACCATGACACCAGGTTTTGATTTTTTTGAGTTGGAGTCTCACTCTGTTGCCCAGGTGAGAGTGCAGTGACACACTCACAGCTCACTGCGGCCTCAAATTCCTGGGTTCAGGCGGTTCTTCCACCTTAGCCTACCGAATAGTTGGGACTACAGAGGTGTGCCAACTTGCCTGGCTAATTTTTTTGTGGCGATGAGGCTTCGTCATATTGCCCAGGCTAGTCTCAAACTCCTGGACTCAAGCAATCCTGCCTCAGCCTCTCAGAGTGCTGGGATCATGGGCGCGAACCACGACGCCCAGGCTGATACCAAGTTTCTGAAAAAAGTGAAGCTTTATATTCAAAGTTTGACTCACAAGAAGACAGAATTTCGGCTCAAATCTGTTTCCCTGTACTGGCCTCAAGGCAGTAATTTTACTGAAGTTTGAGGGGGTGGATTCTGAGATTAGTAGGTGATTGGTTGAAGGAAAGGGGAAGTCAGGATTATCTCTTCAAACTACCGCATAGGCTGCATGTGCAAATGTGACCATTAGTATGAAACTAATGGAAATTCAGCCTGTCACTTCAGCAAGCTTGTTCAGTTGGCCATCTTAGTTCCAACCGATTTGTCAGTTTTTTCTTGATTTCATAAGCAGAGGGAGTTCCAGAATTTCAGCAAACCCAAGAATTTGTTACTGGTTTTGTACTCTTTAGGGCAGTTTTAATTTCAGCAAACTATTTCTTTTTTTTTTTTTTGGCCAGGACCAAGAAATTTATTAAAGCGGCTGTTACAGAGGGGATCTGTAATGGGGAAAAAAGAAAGAGAGAGAGAGAAAGAGAGAGTAAGAGAGAGAGAGGAAGTGGGAGAGTGGCGGGGAGAGAGCTGCAGAGAGGGAGAGAGCAGCAGAGAGAGAGAGAGACGGAGACAGCAAACTATTTCTTATCTGCTATCCTATAAGCCCAAGAATTTAGTTATTGCTTTAACTTTTTGAGGCATGGTTTCAACCAAACAACATGCTTCCTTGTTTCTTTATATTCCCCAGTGCTTTGGTATATTGTTAGGCTACATCACCTTAAGGACTGGGCTGGATCTGATGATAATGCAGACCAGAACCTGGATAATGTCACTTTCATATTGGTTTACTTACGGAACCAGTACACAGGCAGCGCCAAGAATACATGTGAAGTCCAGAATGCATGGTGCAGCCAGGCTCGGTGGCTCAGCCTGTAATCCCGTGCCTTTGGGAGGCTGAGCTGAGTGGATTGCCTGAGCCCGCGGGTTTGAGATCCGCCTGGGCAGCGAGACCTCATCTCTACAATAAATCAAAAAATCAGCCGGGCGTGGCAGCGCATGCCTGTAATTCCGGCTACCTGGAAGGCTGAGGCGGAAGGGATCGCCGGAGCCCAGCAGGTCGAGGCTGCGGTGGCCAGGAGTGGCCACTGCACTCCAGTCTGGGTGACAAAGTAGGACTCCAACTCAAAAAAAAAAAAAAAAAAAAAAGAATGCATGGTGCGAGAATGGATGTGGCTATTAAGGCTTCCTCCTTGATGAAGGCACAACTCAAGGGTGGGCCTGTGCAGAGTGAGAAACCCACCAGGTCAGTGAGCCCAGAACTTTGAACCCTTCTCTTACCAGCTGGTGGGGAAGAAGGAAAAGTGGCTACATTAATCCATGCCCAGATTTGAGGATCCTTTCTTCCCCACCACAAATACATAACCTCCTTACCAATGTGATATTTTTCTCTTATTGGCATTGGGCCTACTTAAGAAGTCAGTGCAGCAACTGGTCAGGAACAACAACAAAATTCAATAAAAGCTTAATGAAATAATTCAGTAGCACTATTATCACTAATGAAAAGAGAAATTTAACTAGCTTACCTAGCTGGCAAAAGCTAATGGAAATAAAGTGCTAAAAACCTAAATGCTTTCTAGGTTGTTCTTTCATCTCAACCACTAATCTGCTAAATGTCTATTTTATACCTCTAGTCTTTATTTTTTGAGTTGGAGTCTCACTCTGTCACCCAGGCTAGAGTGCAGTGGCATGCTCACAGCCACCCCAGTGTCGACCTGCTAGGCTCTGGCGATCCTTCTGCCTCAGCCTTCTAAGTAGTCAGAACTACAGGCACGTGTTACCATGCCCAGCTAATTTTTGATTTATTTTAGAGACAAGGTCTCACCAAGTTGCCTGGGCTGGCCTTGAGCCCGTGGGCTCAGACGATCCACTTGCCTCCCAAAGTGATGGAATTACAGGCTGAGCCACCGAGCCCAGTCGGTTTTATTTTTTATTGTAGAGATGAGGTCTTGCCAAGTTGCCCAGGCTGTTCTCAAACCCATGGGCTCATATCCTCACCATGGCCTCCCAAGGTGCTGGGATTACGAGCTTGCGCCACCACACCCGGCCTGGTCTTTATTTTTAAATGAGAACTCCCTTTTCTCTCCCATAAATATTGGTATCTGATTCTCCAATGTAAATATACTTAGAAAATAAACTGGTACCAAGTAAGTTCATAATAACACATTTTATAAGAAGAAAAGACTGTGATTTTATTTTCAATATTTTGGAAGTTTTCAGGAAAAAAAGACAAGAACACATACAAATATTGAAATTATTCAATGAAATATAAATACTTAGCAGAGAAAGAGACTTTTAGCGTATTAGAATCCACCTTCTTTTGAAAGCAGGAATCTCTTCAAAAATGTCCCTTACGTATGTAGCCTCCTCAAATCTTTCACAAGTTTGATGCACTTCATCTCATAAAAATATAAACCATTTTAACCATTTAAAACAAAAGAATAAGGCCGGGTGCGGTGGCTCATGCCTATAATCCCAGCACTTTGGGAAGCTGAAGTGAGAGGATTACCAGAGCCCGCAGGTTTGAAGCCAGCCTGGGCAACTTGGCGAGACCTCATCTCTACAATAAATCAAGAAAAATTAGCTGGGCGTGACGCACATGCCTGTGGTTCCAGTTACTTGGAAGGCCGAGGTAGAAGGATCGCCTGGGCCCAGCAGGTCAAGGCTGCGGTGGCTGTGAGTGTGCCACTGCCCTCCAGCCTGGGTGACAAGAGTTAGACTCCAACTCCAAAAAAATAAAAATAAAACAAAAGACTAAAATAAGGGAGTCAAATCTCTCCTGTTACATGCTTTTAGAGAAAGGTCACATCCTTGAAGCAGTTTTGTAATATGTAAAACACAGTACTGGCTTCAAAAAATATATCAAGATTCTGTACACTAGCATTGTTTAAATGTGAAGAGCTGCCATCACCTACCTCTATAAAAAAATCAGCAAGCTGCGCCAGATACTCATGCCTGTAATCTCAGCAGCTTGGGAGGTGCAGGTGAGAGGACTGGTTCGAAACCAGCCTAGGCAACTTGGCGAGAACTAGTCTCTACAATAAACCAAAAAATGAGCTGGGCGTGATGGCGCATGCCTGTGGTCCCAGTTACTTGGGAGGCTGAAGTGGAAGGACTGCTTGAGTCTCGCAGGTCATGGATGCAGTGCCCATGATAAAAAAATAAATACATCAGCAAGCTATACTCATTCAAGTACATTTATTTAATTGTACTTCACATAGTTTTATATTTGGCTTGAGGCTAAAACAGGAAAAAAAAAAACAAAACTAGCACAGAGCAGTTAATTAAAAAATGTAAAAATATTAATTATTGTGAGATATGATCAAGTAAAAATCGATCCTGGATAACACAATAAAATTCTGATCACATAAACAAGTTTCTATTATGTACTAAAAGTTTCCACTATCAGAAGATCCTGATTAAAATAAAGAAATACGTAAGACTGGAACCGTAACTAAATGTAATCATTTGGCTCATTTTAGAAGGCCTATGGTCCAGCTGCCAGCCACACTAATCTCTGGGTCTCAGCGGAGTGTGACCAGTTCTTCTGAGGAGGTAGGGTGAATGGCGACCGTGTTGTTGAAGTCAGCCTTCGTGGCTCCCATTTTCACTGCAACAGCAAAACCCTGCAGCATTTCATCACACCCAATTCCCTGCATGTGGATCCCAACCACCTGGGAAAAGAGACAAACATCTTAAAAATAAAAAAAAAACTTTGTAAAGGTTTACAGTCATGAGAGATAGATGACATTTATAAACTGCTAAAAAACTCACAACATGGCTCATGCCTGCAATTCCAGCACTTTGGGAGGCTGAAGCAGGAGGACTGCTTGAGCCCAGGAATTCAAGACCCTCCTAGACAACATAATGAGACCTCATCTCTATTAAAAAAAAAAAGTTAGCTGGGCTTGGTGGTGCGCAACTGTAGTCCCAACTACTCTGGAGGCTGAGGCAGAAGGATCACTTGAGCCCAGGAGTCTGAGGATGCAGTGAGCCGTGAGCATGCCACTGCACTCCAGCCTGGGCAACAGAGTGAGACCTGACTCAAAAAACAAATAAACAAATCTCACAACATTTCTAATTCCAATTCAGCATAAGATAGCCTACACAGCCCTGCCTCAATTTCCCCTCCAGGCCTCTAGAGTCCATCACATCCAGCTCTTCCCGGGGCTCTCACTCTGAACTTTCAGGCTTTCCTTCTGTCCTGAGGACCCTCCATTCTCCCACTTATGCACAAGATGTCCTTGTGTCTAGACAATCTTTCCTCCCCTTTTAAAAATTAAAGCTCATTCATTATTCAAACAGCTACACAGTTGTGCCTCCCTGACCAAGATAAATGATCTACCATGTGATCTCTCAGTACCAATATTTCTCCCTCATGGTACTATCAGAGATGTAATGTCATATTTTGGATGAGGGCTAGAAAAATTTTTTTTGAGTTAGAGTTTCATTCTGTCACCCAGGCTGGAGTGTAGTGGCATGCTCACGGCACCCACAGCCTTTATCTGCTGGGCTCAGGCAGTCCTTCTATCTCAGCCAAGTAGCTGAAACTACAGGCATGGGCCACCACACCCAGTTAATTTTATGATTTATTGCAGAGACAAGGTCTCGCCAAGTTGCCCAGGCTGGTCTTGAACCCGCGGGCCCAGGACTAGAAAATCAGTCCCTCTTTCCCAGCCGACTTTAATCTCTGGATGGAAGGGACCCTTCCTATGTGCTCCCCCCTCCTCACAGTTGAGCACAAAGATGGACACTTAGGAGATGCTCAGTCCATACCTGCTATTTGGCTACATTGTTTCAAATCACATTCTCCAGTGAGGTTTCTCAATATATTTCAGAATTACTGATTAGTGTTTACCTTCAAGCAAATACTTTCAGGGGAACTATTCCATTGAAAAGGTTAGGGAATAAAAAATGTAGCCACAAAGATCATTTGTTTATAAACAAATCAAGAATATATTTAACACTACTGATCACATTCTTAAAAATGGTTATCATAGATTTTGTTATTTGTTTTTTGCAACAGATTTTTTAAAAGTATATCTCAATTTAAGACTGGGCATGGTGGCTCACACGTGTAATCCCAGTACTTTGGGGGGCTGAGGTGGCAGGATTGCTCGAGCACAGGAGTTCAAGATCAGGCACATACCTGTAGTCCCAGCTACGCAAGAGGCTGAGGTGGAAGGGTCACCTGAGCCCAGGAGATTGAGGCTGCAGTAAGCCGTGATGGTGACACTGCACTCCAACTTGAGCAAGAGTGAGATCCCAACTCAACAAAAAAGAATAACCGACTGGCCTCAGTGGTCAGCCTGTAATCCCAGCACTTTGGGAGGCCGAGAGGAGTGGATTGCCTGAGCCCATGGGCTCCAGACCAGCCTGGGCAACTTGGCGAGACCTCATCTATACGATAAATCAAAAATTAGCCGGGTGTGGTAGCACACATGCCTGTAGTTCTGGCTACTTGGAAGGCTGAGGCGGACAGATCACCAAAGCCCAGCAGGTTGACAACTGGGGTGGGTGTGAGTGTGCCACTGCACTCCAGCCTGGGTGACAGAGTGACACTCCAACTCAGAAAAAAAAGAAAAACCACAGCCAGGTTTTTAGATATTGTGACCCTAACTGAACTTATAAAGGGGCTCTGGTGATGACAAGAACTTTCTATTATCCCTTCCTATGGCTCAGCTCTTACTCTTTGGAAGACTGTCAGGAAATGTTTATCAAATGACTGAATGATAACCAGTATGAAGAAATAACTGATAGGAAGATATAAGTAGGACCTTGATGACTCAATATCCAGAAATCTTAGGCTACTGAGGAACATTCAGAGCCAAGAAGCAGCAAGCTTGGTTTTGCTGCCAACCCAGTTCCTCTCTGTTCTGATTTTCTGCTATGTCAGCCTCAGGTGAATTTGATAACGAGGGACTACATCTTGTAGTTTTTAGCATACAGGGCCACTGAATCAGATGCAGACTACACTCTTTTTGATAACAGATGTTGAAAACCACACCTAAATCTTTTTGTTGTTGTTGTTGGAGTCTCACTCTGTCACCCAAGCTGGAGTGCTGTGGCATACTCACAGTCACTCCAGAGCTGACCTGCTGGGCTCTGGTGATCCTTCCGCCTCAGGCTTCCAAGTAGCTGGAACTATAGACGCGAGCTACCATGCCCAGCTAACTTTTGATTTATTGTAGAGACGAGGTCTCGCCAAGTTGCCCAGACTGGTCTCGAACCTGCAGGCTCAGGCAATCTACTCGCCTTGGCCTCCCAAAGTGCTGAGATTACTGGCTGAGCCACAGAATTCAGCCCTAAATCTTCAATTAAGCCACTGTTCCTCACAGAGTCTTGGTCCCAAGCAATATGGCTAAATTCCACTTAAATACTAAATTCAATGAGTAGAAACCACCCAGTAGACTAACCTCATATCAAAGCTAAATCTATTTTTTAAAATTACAAAACAAAACCCATTCAGATGCAAATAAAAACCACCCTGAGATGCCATTTCATACCAACTGGGATGGCTGTAACAAAAAAGACAAGATAGTAACAAGTGCTGACAAGGGTAAGGAGGAAACAAAACCCTCATATGTTGCTGTAAAGAACAAAAAATGGCACAGCCACCAAAAACAGTTTCCTCAAAAAGTTAAATGAGAAATAAATTATTTCAGGAAACTTATTTTTATTTTTAATTATTTTTTGAGATGGAGTCTCACTCTGCTCCCAGACTGGAGTGCAGTGGCATGCTCACGGCCACCGCAGCCTCGACCTGCAGGGCTCAGGTAACCCTTCCGTCTCAGCCTTCCAAGTAGCACTACAAGTGCGTGCTACTACTCCCGGCTAATTTTTTTTTTTTTTTGGATTTATCGTAGAGACAAGTTCTCGTCAAGTTGCCCGGGTGGGTCTCGAACCCGAGGGCTCAGGCAATCCACTCACCTCAGCTTCCCAAAGTGCTGGGATTACAGGCTGAGCACAGAGACCAGCAGTAAACTTTTTTGAATAGACTTTCTCTTCCTCACTAATCTATTATGTTCTATTTAAATTAATCTGCCATTAAACTCTTAACACCAGTATTTCTGAGTTCCCTCTTTAGGCTTTTTGGTCAATGGTCAAGGCTTTTGGCAATTTTCAATCTTTTCTCCTTATTTCTTAAAAGGAAGAGAATCTTCTTTTTAAATAAAATATTATGAGAAAGATAACAGTAGGACTGCCCAATTGAATCAGAAGGTATAACTTGATGTCCTTCCTCTCCACCACACTGAAATACTGCTATTTCTGTCAGATCTGCACAGCACTCTTTAGCTTGCTGGATTTTTCCATACCTTTTCCTCTTTGTTGGCACAGACCATTTTCATCACACATTTTGTTTTCCTCCTGGTAACTGCATGATACATTGGGGTAAAGGTGGTTGAATAGGTCTTCACATTTTCTTTCCCATATTTAGAAATGGCCTCATCTATATGAATGTAAAAAGAAGCAACTGTTAAAAAGCTTAACAATTACACAGAGCCATCGACGCCAGACATGGCCAGAAGTACATAAGGCGAATCAAATCATGAAGAAATAGCAAACAATACCAATATGAGGCATTCTACAAAACAGAAGTCGATGTCATTCAAGGCAAAAGAAAGCCTAGGGAATTTTGTCCCTGGATTAAAGGAAGCCACAGCAGTATGAAACCAAATGCGTTACATCCTGAACTGAATGCTGCACTTGGGGAAAAAAATGTCAAAAAGTGACATTTTTTTTTAGATAATTGGCAAAAGTACATAAGGTCTAAAGCTTATATAATATTGTACAACATAAATTATCTCATTTTGAAAAATGTTCTGTGTTTATGGAAGGGAATAGCCTCGTTCTTAGGAAATATATACTGAGGAGTGTGTGTGTGTGTGTGTGTGTGTGTGTGTGCGCATACGCATATACAATGAGAAAACAATAAAGCAAGATTGCTAAGGGTACACAGAAGTCCTGTCAAAATATTTTAAAATCAGTGTTTATTTTATGGTTCATTTTAACACTGCAGAATTGTTCTACTAAAGATGGTTTCCTAATCTTTATCCATCAAAGAGTTGCTGGCAAGATTAAATTTGATTTAAATGTACAACTTTTCTTTAAGTGTAAAATTAGTTCAAATTCAAAACTAAAAAAGGGGTCAAAGAGATAAAGTGGTATGAGAGAAAGGCAATGTACTCTCAAAGTTTTAGTAGCCGGGAGGAGATTAGAACTACAAGAGACTAACCAAAAAGGAGTGTAATTTGGGGTTGAGAATAAGTCAGCAAACAGAGACCTAGTTTAAAGTTGGGGGCCAGAGAGAAGAAAACTGTAAATGATCCTTTTTTTAAAAAAAATACCAACCTTCTGTGAGTCCCACTGTCCCAATAGGAGGGTGGCTGAAGACCACAGTTGGGATATTGTCATAATCTAATTTGGAATCTTCTTTGCATTCAAAAAGTCGATGGGCAAGTTTTCGGCCAGCAGCTATTGCAACTATAAAGATATTTTAAAATTAGTGTTTATGTTATGGTTCATTTTAATACTGCAGAATTGTTCTACTAGGCCAGTTGTGGTGGCTCAAGCCTAGCCTGGGCAACATGGTGAGAACTCATCTCTACAATAAAAATCAAAAAATTAGCTGGGCTTGGTAGAGTGCTCCTGTAGTTCCAGCTACTTGGAAGATTGAGGGAGCAGGATCACCAGAGCCCAGCAGGTTGAAGCTGCAGTGGCCAAAAGCCACAGAGGGTCAACGCTGGGGTGGCGGTGGGTGTGACACTGCACTCCAGCCTGGGCGAGAGAGTGAAACTCTGACTCAAAAAAAAGAATTGTTCTACTAAAGATGATTTCCTCATCTTTATCCATTAATGAGTTACTGGCAAGATTAAGTTAGATTAATAGCATACACATATTTCATATTTAATTTTCTAATGTACATATATTTTTAAAAGAGAACTTTCTTTTATTCCGAGTCTCACTCTGTGGCCCAGGCTGGGGTGCAGTGGCCTGCTCATGGCCACAGCAGCCTTGACCTGCTGGGCTCAGGTGATCCATCCGCCTCAGCCTTCCAAGTAACTAGAACCACAGGCAGATGCCACCCATCACACCTGGCTAATATTTGATTTATTGTAGAGACGAGGTCTCACCAAGTTGCCCAGGCTGGTCTCAAACCCCTGGGCTTGGGCAATCCTCTCACCTCTGCCTCCCAAAGTGCAGGAATTACAGGTGTGAGCCACCACGCCTGGCCAAAGAGAACTTTTTAGAGGAGTTAAAAAGCTTTGGCTGTGTGACTGGGGTAGGTTTCCCTGAGATAAGACCCCAGGACATTTCAAAAACGCTAGTGAGGTCCCATAGGGGTACAGATTGTAAAGGGTTAAATGGAGTGACATCATTAGAATACAGGTGGGACAAGGCCAGTTGACATGACATGGTACTCAATAGCTCAAGATGAGGGCTGAGATATGGGATGGGGGAGAAAGAGGGTCAATCTTGGTTAAATTACTTCTTCCAAAGTCACTTCCTTCCATTCTGAGCCTAACTTAAAGAGTTCTTCAAAGGGTGACCATATCGTCTCTATGAAAATTTGTCTTCACTAAGCATTTTAAGTCTTTTAAGGAAATAAATAAATATTATTCAAAAATATCAGGTATCCAGAACATCTATTTCAATACAGTTTTACCATTTTGATGACATAAAGACATTTGTCATTTTAACAACTGTGCTTAAGTGGGTTTGACTATGACAAGTTGGGTGGCTTTATGTAATGCACAGGGCGTCCCTCACCAAGAAAGGAAGAGATGTTACCTGGAGTAAGAAGAGCTTTTCCACACACATCCCCAACTGCATAGATGCCTTTTACATTGGTATTCTGGAACTCATCTACTATGATGTGGCCTTTGTCATCAGTTTGAATCCCCTAAAATTACAAAGAGACATCATGTAATTCCTTGACCCATCTACTAAAAATGACAGATCCAACCTCTGGATGTCCCTCATTTCACACTGGAACCTCAGCCCAAATCTCCAAGAAACCTCAAGAGTCAATACAACAAGACTTTTTAGCTGGGTGTGGTGGCGTGCATCTGCAGTTCCAGTTACTTGGAAGGCTGAGGTGGAAGGATCGTTTAAGCCCAGCAGGTTGAGGCTGCGGTGGCTGTAGTATGCCACTGCACTCCAGCCTGAGAGAAAAGAGTGAGACTCCAACTTAAAAAAAAAAAAAAAGACTTTTACTTGGCAAATTTCATGTTTTTTGCTTAATGTAAAAAGTAATACATTATCTACTTTTGAGGTGTTTTTTTTTTTGAGTTGGAGTTTCACTCTGTTGCCCAGGTTGGAGTGCAGTGGCACGTTTATGGCCACCATAGCCTTGACCTGTTGGGCTCAGGCGATCCTTCAGCCTCAGCCTTTTAAGTAGCTTGACCACAGTCAAGTGCCACCATGCCCAGCTGATTTTTTGATTTATTGTAGAGATGAGGTCTAGCCATGTTGCTCAGGCTGGTCTTGAACCCCCTGAGCTCAGGGAATCTTTTGCCTCTGCCTCCCAAAGTGCTGGGATTAAAGGTATGAGCCACTGTGCCCAGCTTGAGGTGTTTTACCTTGTTTCCTTTCCTTTTTGTTTTTTTGTGTGTGACAGAAAGCAGGATTTATTGAGAGAACAAAAAAGCTCCCACAGCAGGAGGGGACCCGAAGGGGTTGCCACTTGAGGTGTTTTAAAAGAATTGCTTTTTGAGTCAGGGTCTCACTCTGTTGCCCAGGTTGGAATACAGTGGCATAACAATCAAAGCTCACCCCAGCTTTGACCTACTGGGCTCAGGCGATCCTCAGCCTCCTAAGTAGTTGGGGACTACAAGCGTGCACCATCATGCCTGGTTACTTTTTGATTTTTTTGTAGAGACAGGGTCTCATTATGTTGCCCAGGTTGGTCTTGAAATCCTGGGCTCGAGCAATCCTCCCACCTTGGCCTCCCAAAGTGTTGGGTTTTTAGGCATGAGCTACTGCACCTGGCTAGGATTTGACATTTCAGTGTACAACTAAACTGTCCAGGTAAACATGAAGAAGAATCGTGCAACTATCAGATGTGCTGTGTGCTAACCCTGTGGAGTCTTTTCAACTGCTTCTGTTGAACGCAGTACTTCTGAAGCATGTTGTCTTAACCATGGGAGAGGTAGAGGAACAGCCTAAAGTAACCAAAAGCACATTTCTATGAGGCTTAGCGTTTTATCTTTAAAAATCCAAACAACTAGCCGGGTTCGGTGGCTCGGCCTGTAATCCCAGCACTTTGGGAGACTGAGGTGAGTGGACTGTCTGAGCCTGCGGGTTCGAGACCCACCTGGGCAACTTGGCGAGACCTCATCTCTACAATAAATCAAAAATTAGCCAGGCATGGTAGCACACACCTGTAGTTCCAGCTACTTGGAAGGCTGAGGCGGAAGGATCACCGGAGCCCAGCAGGTTGAGACTGCAGTGGGCGGAAGCGGCCACTGCACCCCAGTCTGGGTGACAGAGTGAGACTCCAACTCAAAACAAACAAACAAAACAAAACAAAACAAAATCCAAGCAACTTTTGCATTCTACTCTAAAACATACTGACATTTCTTTTAGCCAAATTTCTTTCCTATATTGAGTCAAATTTTTGCTTTAAGATGTGGGCGCAGTATGTTAAACTTGTAATCCCAGCACTTTGGGAGGCGGAGGTGAGAAGACTGGCTGAGTGCAGAGGCTAGCATGGGTAACTCGACGAGACCTCATCTCTACAATAAATCAAAACACTAGCCAAGCATGGTGGTAAGGGCCTGTAGTCCCAATTACTTGGCTGGCTGAGATGGAAGGTTGGTCTGAGCCCCAAAAGGCAAGGCTACAAGTGTGTCACTGCACTCCAGCCTGGGTGACAGAGTCTAACTCTGACTCAAAAAGAAAAAAAAAAAGATGTGTTGTGCTTTTCTTGTAGCTCTGCAGGGCCTACGTACATATACTCCAGTGTAAGAAGAAGAAATATAACAGAAGTAGGTAGCGTAAAGGTTAAGAGTACAGCTCTTGGTGCCAGATAGACCAAGGCTCAAATTCCAGCTGTCTGGCCCACCGCAGTGACTCATGCCTGTAATCCCAGCACTTTGGGAGGCAGGAGCAAGAGGACTGCCTAAGCCCAGGGGTTGAGACTAGCCTGGGCAACTAGGTGAGACCTCATCTCTACAATAAATCAAAAAAATAATTAGCCAGGTGTGGTGGCGTGTGCCTGTAGTTCCAGCTACTTGGAAGGCTGAAGTGGAAGGATCACCTGAGCCCAGCAGGTCAAGGCTGCGGTGGCCATGAGTGTCCCACTGCACTCCAGTCTGGGTGACAGTGAGGCTTTGACTCAAAAAAAAAAAAAAAATCCAGCTGTGACTTACTATTCATGAGGCCCTGTATAACCACCTATTTATCAACAAATATTTGAGCTTCTATTACAAATTAGGTCTTAACCTAGTCAAGTAAATATAATGGTGAGACAGACATATCCTCCCTGCCCCATAGAGTTTACAGCCTAGTGAGTTACCTATTTTCTTTGTGATACTGGCTTCCTCATCTTTAACTGTCAAAGAGTTGCTGGCAAGATTAAGTTATTAGTAATGTGTTGACAAGATCTAACCCGTAATAACCATTCAATTTGCGTTATAGAAAGATATCTTCACATTGAATGAAACTGAACTTTTTTTTCTTGTCTCATTCTTTTTTTTCTTTTTCAGTTGGAGTCTCACTCCATCGCCCAGGCTGAAGTGTAGTGGCATGCTCATGGTCGCCCCAGCGTCAACCTGCTGCGCTACAGTGATCCTCCTGCCTCAGCCCTCCAAGTAGCCAGAACTACAGGTGCGTGCTACCATGCCTGGCTAGTTTTTTTTTTGAGTTGGAGTCTCACTCTGTCACCCAGAGTAGAGTGCAGTGGCCGCTCCCGGTTACCACAGCCTCGACCTGCTGGGCTCCGGCGATCCTTCCGCCTCAGCCTTCCAAGTAGCTGGAACAACAGGCGCACGCTACCATGTCAGGCTAATATTTTGATTTATTGTAGAGATGAGATCTCACCAAGTTGCCCAGGCGGGTCTCGAACCCGCGGGCTCAGGCAATCCACTCACCTCAGCCTCCCAAGGCGTGGGATTACAGGCTGAGGCACCGAGCCCGGCTTAGTTTTTTTTTTTTTAATTGTAGAGACAAGGTCTCACTATGTTGCCGAGATGGTTCTTGAACACAAGGATTCAGGCAGTTCCTTCACCTCGGCCTCCCAAAGTGTTGGGATTACAGGCTTGAGCCATTGCGCCCAGCTTGGCCTCATCCTTTAAAATTCAGCACATACAGTTGAAAACTGAACCTACCAATGCCTATATTCACACAATGGCAAAATACCTCCTGAAAGGTGAAAAGTTGGAAGGTTAGTTTTACTAATAAGAAAATAACTCGTTTTGCTAATTTCATTGAACAGTAAGATTAAAAACAAGCAAAACATCTCCCTGGATATTTTATACTTCAAGACGTTGAAAAAGAACCTTTTACAGAAACAAAAAAGGAATCCACATCACAACAGAAATTAATACTAGAACATAAATCAAAATGTGATGTACTGCTCAATGGCTCCATCAGATATATAAACCTCAAACATAAAATATTTTATTATATGCAATATGCAATATTACAACAGCTTATCAGAAAAGTCATCATAATCATCACCAACAATAGCAGGTTAACTTTGTGTTCAAACTACAAGTCAGCATCTAAGCTAATGACTTTGCACACACTTTCTCATTTACTCTTCTCTTATAACCCAATGAGGCAAGGACTATTTTATTCTCATTGTGAATATGAAGCAATTAAAACTTGGAGAAATTAAGCTACTCGCTCAAGGTCATACAACTGGCAAGTAATAGAACTACAGTTCAAACATAGGTCAAACTCTGGGAATCATGCCCCAAGCCACTATACTAGACTTTACTTGGAAGTAAAGTCTAGTATAGTAAAGTACCTGCTGCCAGGTAAGGTGGCTTATGTCTGTAATCCCAGTACTTTGGGAGGCCAAGGTGAGGGGACTGCCTGAGACCACGGGTTCAAGACCAGCCTGGGCAACTTGGTGAGACCTCATCTCTACAATAAATCAACAAATTAGCCAGGCATAGTGGCGCACACCTGTAGTTCCAGCTACTTGGAAGGCTGAGGTGGAAGGATTGCCGGAGGCCAGCAGGTCGAGGCTGCAGTGGCCATGAGCATGCCACTGCCCTCCAGCCTGGGCGACAAAGT